TCTAGATATGCTTGACTTTGAGGCGTGGGCCCCTCCGCCATCTCTTACACAGGGCCACCTTTCATATTCAGGGCGACGACTCACCGCTTACTTTAGAAGTCACACCACGCGTCGTTAAGTAACAGAAATCGGGCACCAGCATAACCAAACTTCTAATCAAGTACATTTGGATGTATACACCTCCAGCGAGTCATAACTCTCACGGATCTCAAACCTATCAAGCTTTGTACCCATGTGGGATTTCAGCACGACGTTGCAGAGGCTTTACTGGACGCGACCAGCATCACGTCTTGTATGAAGGCTGCTCTCTGCACCCCCCACGGCTCTGTACAAAAAGCAAGCTTCCAATTAGGTTCGGCTCTTGCCGCGACTGCCACCTCGAGTACACAGTGGGCCAGTGGATTGGCGACAATCGTGTTTTCATTGTGGACGAGCAGGATATAAGCCCTCACGACCTGGCACTGGACAGCATGGGCCCGACGCAGACTCCCGACGATGGCAGCCACATGCCCATCTACCGTCTTTTCGAAAAAAGCAAACAGGTTTTAACACCCTACGCGGAGGCTGCCAAACATTCTTGGACGAGGCTGGAAAATATCAAAGCTTGTCTGAAAAAGATCAGACTGTGATGAACACCGAGTGAGTTAGTCATACTAGTCAAGCAGTACGACTTGCCCGTTCAGTCAGAAGTCTGTGTTCAAGCCTGAATCATCCATAGCACTGTTTCTCCGCAAACAAGACATCTAGTCGCACCTGTTGCTTCACCACCGAGGCACAGGCACACCTCTGTGCGCGATGAAGATCATATTACAGATTATTCAAATGCAATCATCCCACCAGCGCAATGGCCACCATCACCCAGAACCCCCCCACACCCACCATGGCCAACATTGGCATCCTGATTTGTTCCTCCGCTCCCCTCGTCCAGCCCTCTTCCGGCACCTCCAGCGCTGAGAAACAGTCTATGGGAGGGGGAGGGGGAGGAGGACAAGAGTCAGGATGGATGCCGGGCCATCTGCTGCTGCTGCTGTCGCATCTGCTGGCTGGGAGCGGGTAGGCGACGGCTGGGGTGACAGTGATGTCCTCATTATGGCTGCTGCTGCTGCTGCTTCTTGCTCTGCTACCGCTGCTATCGCTGCTTTTGCGGCTGGCGGGAGGGCGAGGGCCAGGGGGGACTCGGTGGTGTTGGCGGCGTTTTTGCTGGTGCCAGCAGCCGGCTCTCCAACAACAGACTTGGCTCGGGGGCGGGGGCGGCCAGAGGGAGAGAGGGTGAGGCGGGATGGGAAAGATGTTTCAATTCCATATTATCGTAATCCCTGTGCTTAGTATCAGTCATGTCCCCCTACACTCTTTGAGTCTACTTACATTTTGTTTTTGTGCCCCTGTTGAAGAAAAGAAGCATCCAGGCAGAACACGACAAGCGGGAGCGGGCTCAACATACCCAGACAGTGCTTCAGCCACTTACCTTACCTGAAAGTATTGTTCTTCGACAGGTATCTCCTCTTGCCCAAAATCTGCGGCGAATGCTGATGCCGGCCGTGACTGCCCATGCAAGATGATCTTAGTATTGGGTCAATTATCCGTAGTGGCTTCCTGGAGAAAACGAGCCAATGATGGCGACTGCTGTTTGAGGAGCGTTGGCTACCTAGGTACTCTGAAGGACAGTTCACTCGAAGAACCAGAGCCACACAGCAAGGGCGGTGGCTTGGGGTGACTGAATTGGCATGGTCACAACAAGCCCGACTTGATCGTTGACAGCGATGTGGCCTTGAAAGCAATCCATGCTGATTGATGCGCCTAAAGAGTTCAAGACTATCTTCCTGGGGCATGTATGAAGAAGGCACACGGGTTCTGGCAGTACTTGGAAAGCTTAAGGGGTGGAAGACCTGGACCTGAGATGTGTCCGGCCTGAGTCTGGCCCGACTATTAGGAAACCATTTGGAGTATTGAATAAGATGAGGTATTGAATGAGATGAAAAGGAGTAAGAATAATGGATTGATGATGTGACCAAAATGCACGTTTCAGAGGACTATCAAGGGACCATATGGCGTACACCAACTATCTAGGTATCGTCAGAAAGCCTGAACGGCATGGATCATGTACTCTCGCATCCCAATTCTCTACTGCTGAACTAATGCCATGAGCGA